TCCAACTTCGCTGATTTATTTTACGAGTATTTTATACAGTTTTGGGGTTATTTTTGGCCGTCTGGAGCCAACCTGTCTGGAGTTATTTGCAAGGTAGTTTGACAAGGCGCCTATTGATACTTGAAGAATTAAACGTTTTCGACTAAATCAAACGATTCAAGTTTTATGAGTTTCTTGTAACCAGAATCGATCTGATTTGCATTTCTCTGTCGTATGAAACCCGATATTTAGATACAACGCTGAAAGTTTAAAGTTTCCGATACTGCTCCAAAGTAAATTTGCACGTTGAAAGCAATCTAGTCCCCGAAACACCCCCAATCTATTTACTTAGTACGTGTTTAACTTTATGGTATATCGTCACAAATTGAAGTGCATCTTTTATTCATCGCAACCGAACAGAAACAGTTGGACCGAGACGACGCCCCACATCTTCTATAAAATACATCCGTTGGCAATCGTAAAAATGTTATATGCACATCTATCATTTATATTTCAGCTTAAAAGCCCTTGCAAATTACGTGCTAGTAGAACAGTAAATGAATATTGATGACGAACATGAATTATTCATTTTCTCTGAATATGATCCGCTTTGTTGTCGGCTTAATGAATTTGATATTGGCAACTGATTTGATCAAAATTGGCCAAATCGTTTTCATGCTAATCAGCTATTAAAGCAGATTTTATGAGTCAGGAAAAGGGTTTAGGGTAGTGGGATTCTTCAATTTTAACAAAGAATCTTCGAAAGCGGTTCGCAAGTAGTTGAAGCAAAAATTTACTTTTTTCAGTAATAATTGCTATTGAAACAATTTGGGAAATTAGTTATTTAGGCAAATAATTTAAGTTTTGGATAATCATTTTGAAGCATTATTTTAGAAAATTTAAAGCATAGTGTCATAAATAGCTAACAAGACTTGAACAAGCTTGTTAACTAACTTACAAATTGAAGCAAGGATGGAAGGAATGAAATAAATTTTCTTTAATAATAAGACTCAGAAGAGGCACAGATAAGTTTATAGCAAACACGTGAAGTTTGCCTTGAAAAGCATCTGAAGATGCAAAACGTAAAAGAAACTTTGAGTAATTACTTCAATAGTTTGTATTTTTTGGGTCATCGAAAACCACATATTTTCAAAATTTCACTTCTTTTAAGTAGAACCTGAGGCATATTTATAAATAAAATCAACTGAAACAAGAAAGTTACATTTTCACGTTATTGGATCAGTGATTAATCAAAAGTAATTAAAATTACAAAAAAACTGTCACACAAAGGGCATGAAGAAATCTAAGTTCGAAACTTTTAAAGAAAATGATGACTTCAATTACAACAGATGCACAATCAACTAAAATCTACTTAAGAAACAATTGACCTAGAAGAAAACTAAAACAAGTGTCCCAGTAGAAACATTTCAATTGAATCTCAATCATCTCTTTGCATGTTCGATACACGTACTGAAAGCCCCTGAATTCGCCTTTCAGGCTGCATAAATAGGCTGAATCCCGCAAATATTTCGCCTTTTTAGTGCACTTTTGCATCAGAACCATTCACTACCGAATAACACTTAAACCCTAATTGCTGGATTGTAGCACCAAATTATAACAATTGCAAAGTCTTCCTTCCATAATATCCATGTTTTTCCAAATTCAGAAGTACCATAAAGGACAATATTTGATATTAAAACAGCGGTTTCAATTACTTACCGGCGGTTAATGTGGCGTAAGTTGAAGAACAATGTTTTTGCAACCGCAACTTCTGAAAGAAAAGTCTTGTATGATATTTGGATACTTTAAGTTGAAACCAGCTCTTCAGGATTCGTGCAGAAAATAGAAATTGGCGAATGTTTGCAAACATATTTATATTTTTCAAGTCGATTCAGTTTAGTGAAACTTTGTCGATATTAAATGTTATATGGGAGAGTATTCTGTGCATTTGGATGTTTTTTCGTTTCAAATTTTTATTGCATTTTTTTAATGCATTGATTAAATTAAAACTGCCAAAGGTATCGTTATGTTGACTATTTAGAGCGATGTTTTAAAAGACCTAATTGTAACGAATTATGATTAGAAACTTTTCAGTTTTTTCGTTTTTTCAGTTTTAACCATAAACCACCATCTCAAAGCACTTTATTTAATTTCTCTTTGATTTCTCCCATGTAAACTACGAATTTCGAATGGTTCGTTTCTCCGAATACAAAATCCGCTTCGCCTTTGGTGGCATTTTCCAAATCTTTTTAATGCTCTATTTCCATACTTTGTTCTTCAGTCAATTCTTCCAAACACTCGTTTTTTTTTGCAAATAGACACTTCTACAGATCGTGACATCGATTTTCTCAGAACTGTTCTTAGAAACGTTTGTGTTAATTTATTCAGGTCTGTCTTTGAACAATGGTCTCCCAACTGATTTATTTTAGCAGTTTGTGTTAAGATTGCTAATGTTGCTTTGGTTTTTCCGCTTTTATCTTGTCCCGATACAGCTTTTGAATACGGGTTTCTCATTTTTGAAACGACTGGCAAATTTAACGGCTTCAATTGGTCATTTTTGTTTGCCATGTTAGTTGCTGGTCTATCGACTGCACACTTCCATGGAAGACATGTTCACCGAACATTTTTGAAATTTTACCTGTGCTTTATTGATCCCGCCTTGAAATGCTTAGTTAACAGACAGAAAAACTGGGACAATAGCGTTGATTATGTGAAGCCTCTGTACTTTTTGCCCAGTTCTAATTATTGAAAGGTTTCAGCTTATCGAATAATCCAATTAAAACGATTCGGTCGCTAACTCAAATACAATCAGAGAAACAGAAAGGTGACTGGAACCCTCGCTAATTTTAATTAAAAAGGAAATTCCCTTCCGTTCGAAAAACAGAGCCGTTTCAATAAACAGCTCCAGCTGCCTGAGAGTATTAAGACGGCATTGTATAATTCGTAAAAATAGGAAGACTTGCAAAAAGTTTTTTATTCGTTTTGGTTTGAATACGTCGTTTTTTGTTCGAAAAGTTTTTAACTTGTCCTCCGAGACTCATAAACCTATTGAGACGAAAAGTTTCATGCTCCGAACGGATGATGGTATAGTTTCAATGTTTTTCGTCGTAATAAATGGCGATAACACAGAAAGTCATTGTCTGGAAATACGCATTGGTTCTTTTCTAATACCTGCGCGAAAAATAGATGAAAAGCTTCTTTACCAACAAAACGGAGTTGGAGTGGATGCAAAAAAACGGCGAATAGTGTTCGGAGGAAAAGCTGCTTACCTCGGAAGTTCTCTATCGAACCTAATGAGTACCTCAAGAGTAATTGGTTTTGCAGCTTTATAATTATTCGATTTTAAGATTATTTTTGTATAAAACCTTCTGGGTACAAGTCATATTTCGTTAGTTTATGTTGGGTCGTTCTGAGAAGCTTTAAACTTCATTTTTGTCGATATTTTGTTTTGCTTCTAAATGATGTTTGCTCGCAATAATTTTTTTTTCCCCTAGATGTACAATTAGGCAGCATTTTAATTAATACTATGTTGTCTGAAAATTTTTCTCGTTAAAGCTTCATTAAAAAGAACGTCTAAGCCTTTACAGACGTATTGCAGTAAATATCTGTTTCGTATTATTGCACTTTTTTCTGAAAACTTTGCTACTATTTTTTTAAGTTGTTGTTAATGACTCCTTGTTAGTACCTTCGAAGTCTACGAACGATTGTTACATTTTGCAATGTTTTCTTTAATATGCAGTTCGCTCGATTGTGCCATTCAAACACCATTAATGAGTCGATGTATGTTTCTTTTTCCCAAAAATTTGCAAGCTGACAGCGAGTTTTTCATTCCACAATTTTTCGTCTTTTTGCTAGATGATTTCCTGTTTTAATGCTTCTTCTTATAAACCATTTTTCTAACTTGATTTTAGTGAACACATGAGAAGTCGAAAAATAAAAAAAGTAAAATTTTTGAGCACTGCTAATTCCTGTAAAATTTCTTAGATAATTCGTTCACTTATTTGAATAAACTTCTTAACAGCTCGAAAAACTGTGGAATTTTGGGCCAATAAATCTGGAACGCAAAAAGAACTACTTCGAATAAGTAGAACACTCACTTCTGGTTGTGTTAATATGGAACAAGACATTTAGTGAAAGTTACAAAGCGAGTTATGTGCATGGCGCCATTTCCAGTCAATTTGAAAACATTTCATTCTGCAAACATGTATTTCTTGTCTAGGTTCAAGCCCAAATATATTAAGAAACCATGTGGTAATTTATTTTGAATAATGTGAGCGCTAGTTCTATTTTTATAGTCGATTCTCATGTAGATAGTTTTTTGCTTTTAATAACTGGGTATTTTAAGTTGCTGTCGGTTGCAACAGAAATTAAGGATTTATAAAGTTGAATATTATAAGATTCTGGCTCACCTGCTTTTGCGATGCAATTGTTCCCATGCATTAATATTGAAATGGTCCGCAACAGCTCTGGATTGCTGCAATAAAAAAATGGGTTTAAAGTTGTTACGGTTGAATTTTTCAGTCATCAAAAATTTGAGATTTTATGAAAAGTGGAAGAGAATTGAAACACGTTGTTTTGATGCAATTCTTTTTGTAAACTACCAAAGGGACTTTGCCTATGACAAGCTTTAAAATTACAATTAATTAAATTTATAACAGGAAATGCTTTATTTAAAAATGTGGAAATAGTTTGCAAATCCGTTAAATTACATTTCATACAATGGATACTATTTTTGCGGGAGTTATTTGCTACCCTTGTTATAAGCCTTAGATCTTGCTAGAAAACTGCCTTTCTTCGAATACATATTTGAATTTCTTGTACATAATTTTAGGCAAAATTTCTATTGTTGGCGTGTGATGTAAGGATTTATTCTAGGCAATGTATTATTAGAACGCAATTTTCCTGACACATTCTTTATAACGTTTAGATAACTTTTTTTGAATTTGAATTTGAATTGAAATGTTTTTTTGATTTTCACTTAATAAAATTGTTCTTGTTACTCACTCGTTTTTTTTTATTGAATTCAATCCAGATAAGCATTTTTTCCACATGGGTTTCTGGTGTTTTCGTTTTACATAGTTTGTCTCCCAGTCATGATTTTATTAGTTGTCAAAATTTACTTTAGCTGTTATGCATATGTTAGGTATAATACAAATCCGTAACATCGAAATAGGAATGTTCTTAAGATCGAATAAAATCTAAAAACGATTTTACACCGGCAGCTTTCACAAGCTTCTCTAGCTATTGTCTGCAGCAACCCACCAATCCTTAATAATAATTTCTGCAATACAAACTGTGTAAAATGCCACAATTGCCTTAGGTATGAGTGGCCGAATATTGTCCCAGTGTCTTTCTTCTGTTCGTCAGCATCTTTGCAAATCATATTCTTCACTTTGTGTACTATTTAGTATACATTATGTAGCTGCAGTCCCTCAAGATTGATTGTTTCAAACTGACTTTCCTTTTATTAATCATTTAATTAATAAAACTGATTGGAGAAGCAGCTTTAATCGGAAGCTTTTTTAATATGCCGCCCCATGCCATTACTCAATAGGCCAAATACCCAAACTTATTAAGGTAAATTAGGCGTCCGTTGACTGAATCCATCCCTTGCCAATATTCTGGGTCATTAATTTGAGCTCGTGGAGGCACCCCCGAAAATACATAATTTTAATAATTCCGAATTACGGCCGCAGAGCAAAATTCCGTTCGAACCGAAGAAAAAACGAAATTTAATACTTACAGGGAAAGTTTTTTCCAGTCAATTTTCTTTTTTTCTGCTTTCCCGGTGTAATTCGCGTTGAAAAAGGGGATTTTGCGAGACGACCAATTGCATACTAATCGAATTTAGCCACCGAAGGACTTGGGCTACCGTAACAATGTGTGATTCAAATATTAATTTGGATGGTCTTGTGTTTTTGGCCTTTTACTTGTAGATGTTGATCGCTGTTTAAAAAGTTTCCCGAATTTACTTTCATTTATTTTTTGCCGTCAAGTTTTCAGAAAATGTAAATTGTATGGCTCTCATATTCGAACTATGTATCCAGGCTAATTCAAAATTGGCGTCATTCCTCTGGAGGTGTTGTCTGGCGCTGTTAGAGAAGTACAAAAAAAATAGTACAATTAATTAATTGTTATTAAAAACAGAGAAATTTGCAAGAAACTATATCAGAAATACGACAACAATGTTTTTCAAGGTAATCTGCCTAATTAACATTGCGCAAATACCTGTTGCTTCGTAATTATTTAAAACTCCGGTACCCATGGAATTATACAGAGTGACAATAATATAGACAAGGATAAACGCAACGCTGCGCAACGTACTTTCGAAATGTCAACCTGTTCTGATAACCTCGAATTGTGTTTACAAATAAACCATACAACACCAAACATTTGAATGGTTAACTCCAGACAAGCTAGTGCCTGTGTAATCTCCTTATTATCCACTCTTATCAAGCAGCTTCTCGTATTCAGTTAATTAATCCTTCTCCATTTGTATCTTCTTGTGCTGTGTGTATCGTACAAACGTGGTAGGAATGTAGCCCTACCTTGGTATTTATTTGGTGCTTGGGAAAGTGTCAGTTATTGTGCTCTGAGTGCCCCTCGAAGGCCCTGATTCGATTATGTCCAATACTTGTTCCTCTGCGTCTGGCACCCGAAAATCGATTGTCTTCCACTATCTTCTTGGAACAACTCTCCGCGCCCTTTGTTGGAGTGAGTTCTTTCACCTTCTGCTATCTTACTGTAGCATTTCCCCTGAACTAAGCGCATATCCCCAAATTCGTTAAAGAAAATTCAAAGTAAGTCACAGTTTGACAAACTATTGTTATTATTGGGAAGGGCTTTCCACCTGTAACTATCTGTTAATAGCAAAAAACATCATTGCCGCTTTGACTTTCCACCAAAAAATTGTAGAAGAGAACTTTTTTAATACCGAAAATTTTCGGAATTTGAAGCAAAGATCGTAATTTTTCTTTTTGAATGCTTAAGTATTCCAATATCCTACCAATTAAACATGAAACAATTTCAAAATAATGCTTAATAACAAAGTTGAAATTCGGTCTTCAACTGTTAATATCTTCTAGACATTTTACGAAAAAATAGGAAAAACGTTTTTCAATATTTTTCTCGTACTTCCCAAGTGAGCCTCTATCACCCCTTAAAAGGAATGACGCCAATTTTGAATCACCCTGTATATGCCTGTCCCCAGGCAAACAAAGCCATTTGCTTCCAAAACGATTTGAAAATTTGCGTGAAAATTACAACTGCAAACCCCGATAAGCTTTTCCTCTGCACCGATCGAGCTGTTCATTCTTAACCAACCAAACCAGTGTAAAAAGCTCTGAAGAATGCCATTGTAGTGGAACAAAAAAATCTAAGCTGGAAAATTCGGACGTTAATGCTCATGTCGGGTTACACGGCTAGTTTAATGGAATCGCGATTGGATTGCCCGAAATAAGGAAAATAAATTGCCTTCATCCCGACGTGTTTCCACGAGAATCTTAATGTGAATTATTGAGGATGTTTTTGCATGCTGGAGGAGTGGAATTTTGCTCCAGACGTGCTCAATGAAGGGAGATAAATCTACCTTTCAATATTTACCGGAAAGAAAAATTCGAAACAATACATTAGTTATACCGAGCGTAATAGGAGCCCTTGACATTTGCAGTAACACATGCCCTTCGAGCAGTCAAGGGAGTTTGACCAATAAAAATGGAATTGAATTACCTGGGAAGGTCGTGGCTGTATTTTTTACGTTATTGCCTCCTAAATCACCTGTTTACCCGGACATTTTTTCCGATATCCATTGAAAAGGGCTTTTTATTTGATGAAAGCTCTTCAAGTGGATGGATGTTTTTCAGACGCTTCCAAAAGAAGTATTCGGGTTAGGCTTCATTCCATTAAGTGTTTCGTTTCAGGCGAATTAATAGAGGCAACAAACATACTTTTTCGGCAAATCAATGTTGAAAATGCTCCTTGGAGCATAGTTTCTGTTGATTTTGATGTACTGGCTATGTAAAGAGTGAACCGCTCTAACCTCGTCCCGTTTCAAGTCCGCAGCTAATTGATTGCTATTTGCTGAAAGTTTTAGAGTTGCGAAATTAGCAATGTTGCCTGCTCTTTATGCAAATTGAGCTGCGGCACAATCGGAAAAGTTTCGAATTAGACTTGAAAAGCTCCAATTAATTTTATAGTGGAAAACCGTTCAATGCTTAATGTTCACTTTGCTAGTCGCAAGCGTTTTAAGGTCATTCCTGGCCACGATTTACATGTACATTGTAAAAGGCAGGGCGTTTTTTCTCTTCTTAAAAACATGGAGATCGTTTGCAGATACTGAAAACTGCAAGGAAGCAAACATTTTGTACAATAAACGGCACATTCAAAGTTCGCGTTGATGGTCGGCACAGTTTTTGAATGTAAAAGAGTGAAAGAAGTGATGTTCAAAAGGATTCTAGTATAAGTAGGAAGTGTAAATTAATAGAAGCAATTAACTGGTTTTTTGAGTGGGTAAAGTAACTGGCATGGAGGTTACATCTATAAAACGGATACAATCCGTCGTATAAGACCGGTAGAGAAATAGAGCACTTTAGAGTCTGATACATTTGACTTCAAATTAACCATTGAACTTTTTTTTTGAAAGAATGTTACTATATTAGTAGCACATGGCATCTACTCGCGAAAAGTTATAAACTGTAGGATAAATTTCCGTGGCTAAATTAATTATAGTAATACTGTAATCATTTTCCTCGCTCTATCTTTCCAAGTTTTCGATATAGAGCCGACCGCCGTTATTATTCGGGCGGTTATTCTAATAACCACTTTTCCATTTTATTCGCATTTACATTTAAACGCTTTATACAACACCACACTTTTGAAATGTTGCTAGGAAATATAATGTTTATTTTAGGTATCAGGCTGTCTATACTCGATTTCAAACAATTGCTCTTAAACTAGTGGAAAACATAATTTTAAAACCGATCCGTTTGCAAGAGTAGAGATGATAAATTCAGATAAAAAATACGGGAACAAATTATAATAAAAAACCAATACTTTTGGGAAACCGGCTTGGAAAGCAGGTGAGAAATTGAACACATTTGGAGTGATTAATAAGTATTGGAATACTCGAAATATCTCGTTAACCGCTCATTTAATTTTGATACAATTTGGTTTACATGAACTGGAGTTAATGCAAGAAATGCTTCCAATCCACATTGTTGCGGATTCTAGGGTTTTTCGTTAATTGACAGTACAAAACGTTTTAATAAACTGTGTATAGTCTTTCTATTTTATGTTTCTCCGGTAAGTTGATGAAATGCGTGGAAATTTACATCGATCTAATAGCAAATTTCCTTAGTAAATTAAGAGCTTTCATTAGTCAAACGTCCAAATTTTCCATGCAAATTCGGATGATTTAATTTCCAGGTTGTCGACTGTTTTAACCTGTGCATTTGTACCGCAAATAGCTGGCAATAAACAACTTTTTCATATTTCGGTGGTTTCGCGCCCCGACTCTATAAGAGTGCATACTGTAGAAACTACTCATGAGACAACGTGTCCAAAGCCTTAGAACATCGCGAGACATTTTGCTCCATAAACAAGATTTTCAGTCATACGTTTCGAGAGATCAAATCCCATTTGTTGTACTGAGACTCTTGGTAAAGTCGAATTGACCTCACATTTCTTCCATTTGTGTTTGCTATCTCCAGTTTTATATTTTTTGCAGTGCCCAGTTTCCGTATTTTGCTTCGTGACTCATTTTACATCCACGTTATTCCTCCAGCAGCCAGCTTCTTCTTGCTCTTTACCTCTTTCTTTCTTCCGGCGGAGTTCATTCTAGTATTTTTCGTGGCTATCTATGTTGTACCATTCTGTCTGCATGTCCGAACCATACTAACTGTTGTCCTGTCCTTTCGACTTCATCCATGATATCCTTTTCCATGCCGATATTCTGCCTCATTTGTTCGTTTCTGATTTTTCTGTTATGGATGTATTCTGTACATACGTGTAACATGCAACATCTTGCAACTCGTTTTCCTTAGTTGTGTGACTTTTATCGTCTCTTTCACTTGTGTTATCTAAAGAACTGTGCGG